CAAGTTTTCGTAGAATTGTATTTGGTTGTTGATAAAATCATTCTGAATAATAGTATAGAATATATTCACCTATGTCAACCCATGTTAAATTTTCCAATTCAGGATTAAATTTTTCTATTTGGTACATTGGATGAAGAACAAATGATAATATCAATAATGGTTGTTCCCAGGAGTTTCATCGCTTTTCTAACTAGTCTAAAAGTCGCTGACCAAGATGAATATCAGGATATTCTTTAATTATTTTAACCAAATAACTGAATGAATATAATACTTCAAAGAGTCGTGCTTTGTCACGTTGTAATAAATTAAGACAAGCACAATAGGGTAATAATAAAGACTTTATATTTTTTATTTGCCACCACCAATTATCATCATTGATAATATCACATATTTTGCTTGGTAGTACCAAGTTATAAGAACATCGAAGGTCGAAAGATTCATCACTTGAATCATAATCACGTGGTTCATATTTAGCAACTAATGTCTAAAAATATTTAATAATTATATAATTAATAAATATATATTAGTATTTATTTAAACAAATTAATTACTTTAAGTGCTTCTTTAGTTTTCAAGAGACTTCCTAAGCAGTAAAAGTAAGAATTCCACCGTGTTACTCCTGGCTTAATAAGAGTTACATATTTATGATAAAGAATTTCTTGTTGTTCTCGTAATTTTCAAATAAAGTATATATGATTAACATTTTTAAAATATGTTGTTATAGTAGTTGCATCTTCAATAGTTTTTTTAAATACTGGTGATTCTTTAAAAATCTCACCAACACATAAATTTAGTTGATGTGCAAAACACGGTAAAAAACTTTATTTTTGTGATTTATTTGCAATTGCTTCCTACAATATAATTAAAATTAATTAAATTAATTATTTAATTTATTTAAAATAAATGTTTATTATTAAGTTTTTTATATAAAAGTCAAAGTTATTTTATATTATTTAACACTAATAAATAATATATTTTTATTATTGTTTGTTATTTATTTTAATTAATTATATTATAGTTTAAAAAGGTATTGGCAATTAGCCAATTACGTGGAATCCTTGCTCAAAATCGCCGAATTCAAGAGTTGGATGAACTTAAAAAGCTTTATGAATCGACTTCAACAACATCTTTATTAAACCATTCTAAAGATGTGCCAAGCAATTTAACAGTCCAATATACTAATGATGAAAGTGATTACGATGAAATTGATAATATGAGTGAAGATAATGAAGATGATATTACATTATGGTCATCAATTTCAGATGATGATTCAGATGAAAATTTATCGGATTCAGAATCAACTGACTTAGATAAATTGTTAGATAATCAAGAGTCTTCAGTAGGTCGTAAAGTCAAGTGGCCATTAAATAGATTGTTTACTGCTGATTTAGAAGCACCATTTTTTGCTACAATTTATTTTATTTTTTTTGAAAAAAGAAAATATAAATATTGAAAATAAAATTGTAACCTGTTTACGCAATTAGAAATACTTCTAATATCAATTATTCATAGTTTTTTAAAAATAATTGTAATTATAGTTTTCAAACTGGTTCATTTCAAGACTGATTAACAGTCTAATCGCTATTGCTATATTAGAATATTAAAGATTCAGGTATTTAGGATTAAAATCCCAGATAAATTTAAAATTCTAAGTGAAGGTTCGAATCCCCAGTTTAAAAAAGATATATAAGTTAGTTTTTAAGACATGACAGATTTGAATATTAAGGAGAAATGTTAAAATCTTTGTTCTCTTATTATATAATTTATTTTTAACCCTACGATTATTCAGATATCAAAATTCCAATCGATTCATTGATCATTTAATATCGATCCCAAAATTGGTACTTTTTAATGTTTGAGCCTCTAAGAATAAATAAATAATAGTAAGTTAATCAATTATAAATTTGTTCATGATAGATGCCAAATATTTTTGAATTATTAAAGTCTCCCCGATCTTTAAAATCAAAGGGTGCCATAGTGAAATAGATTCTAATTTTTGATTATTAAAATTTATATCTTGCGTAGCTTTTCTAGTAGTAATAATTTATAGATAGTCATATAAAAGACGTTATTTATGAATAGCAAAATTAATAGCGATAATTATTTAAGAATTTTATACTCTTGTATAATAATTTTTTAGACACATTAATCACACTATAATATGTTTTAATTGACAAGCTAGTTTTTAATTTTAAAAAAAAATTTTAGTAAATGACTGGACATATTGGACTGGACTATGTCCAAGTATATGTCCAATGTCCATGTCCAGTCCAGTAGCATTAAAAATAGGTGGACATATGTCCAGTGCCAACACTGCGTATACTGTTATATTTTGATTACTTTATATAATCATAGCATGACTCATTTCGGAGCTCATGTCATATATAATAGAGGCTTTGTCATGCTAATATTTTTGCTGTAGGCCTTTAATATATTTGAAAAAGTAACATATATTAGCTATCGGACACGTTATTATATCCGGTTCTGCTCACTTTGTAGACAACCACTTCATGGGTTACATTATTTCATTGACAATTAGTTTCCAGGCAGGCTATTTTACAGGAAAAAAATTCGCAGACAATTTCATTTTCAAACACATTTAGCTTGTTTATGAAATGAGCTGTCAGAAAATAAATTATCTATTAAACAAATTTATCTGCAAATTGATTGTTTGGAAAATAAACCTGTTTATTAATTAATTGTCGGTGAAATAAAGATTCCTATGAAGTGACTGTTAGTAAAATGGCAAGTAATGCTTATATTACTCATTAAATTATTATATTATTATTATTAACATACATATATAAATATCAGTTAACAAAAAATTTGAATACATTTAAAATGTTTAATATAATATTTATATATAATTTTTTATTATGAATGAAGTTTAAAAAATAGTTGAGCACCGAGTACAATTCTTTAGTTGCTTTTGAAATATCTCTAGTGCATTTTAATACATTTTTAGTAAATCTAAATTTGTTTTTTCATTACTCAATTGCGTTTCAATAAATGAACCAATTTACTCTCATATTTCTGCTTGGCAATTTCTATTAATTCTGTAAATTCACCACTTCTTTCACACATTTCTTTAAATAATCCATCAGGCTTTTGCATCAACATATATGGAATATCAAATTCAACTACATTTCCAGCATCTAATTTTTAGAGAAAATTAATATTTAAATCATTAAAATTTTACTCTGAAAAATACTTACCCATAACTATAATTCTATCATAATCTACAACCGTTCGCAACCTATGTGCAATAGTGATTACAGTATTATCTTTAAACTCTTCTCTAATTGTAGTCTGT